AGATCTTTTTTTGTTTTCAGTCCTTTGAATAAATAAGTCTAGTTTCTGACCTACTTGCTCTTCTTTTTTTCTAATGTGGAAAATACATTGAAATAAATAATGTGGAAATTAAATAAGATATTTAATTTTGCTCTTCCATAGCTAATATTTTTTTTCTATGTATATGCTTTAATGATTTTTTTCTTTATAATTAGTTTTGGACAATTTCATTTTTGTGTATCTTAATATGATTTTATTAATATTTCTTTTGCAAAAGGTTCATTTTTTCTCAGCAATGTGGTGCAATAATTTTAACTAAATTCAGAAATTTTAAGTCTTTTTTTTTTTTTTTTGGTGGAACTGGGGATTGAACTCAGGCTCTTGAGCTTGCCAGGGAAGCACTTATTCCACTGAGCCATCTCCCCAGTCCCATAAATTTTAAATCTTTAAATATTTATTGTTTACCCCATTCTACTTTGAGACTTCTAATTATATGAATGTAAGTTTCCTGATTTTGGCACATAGTGAACTATTATATGACTGATCTGTATTATATGACTCTTTCTTCTTCATGTTTATTTCAGGCAATTTTTAATGTCATATTCATTAGTTTATAAATAACTTTTTACAATGTACAATCTATTACTAATCTCATATTATGTATTCATTTCAGAAATATTTCTCTAAAATTCATTCTGTCTACATCTTATATCTTTCACATTTCAATATTTGTCTACAATTTTTAATTTGCTATATAATTACTGATTTTCAATAAAGTTAATGAGTTAAAAAATAAAAATAAAAAAAATCCATATTGTCTGATTCCATATTATTAAAGTTCACAAGCAAGCAGAATTACTGCATGGCATTAGAAGTGAGAAAATTGGTTTCCTCATAGGGGAAAGAAGTGATACGAGTGGGGAACACGAAGGAAATGCTTTGTTTAGAATACTCGTTACGCTTTTTGTCAGTAATGATGTTGGTTACACAGGCCTTCTATTTGTGACATTTGCTGACTTGTACCTCATGACTGTATATCTTCCTGCTTCTGTGTTGTACTTCAGTGAAAGTTTTTAATAAAAGAATGTGCTTTCCTTTTTTAATTTTATTTTTTTTGGCGGAACCGGGGATTGAACTCAGGCCCTTGCGCTTGCCAGGGAAGCGCTTACTCCACTGAGCCATCTCCCCGGCCCATGTGCTTTTTTTAATGTATGTGAAATCATGTGGAAACTCCCACTAATACTGCATTTCTCTAAATGCTTGTCACTGATAGACATAAAATCCTTTCAATGTGCTAAACCGAGAGCAACTTTATGTTTTCATTTTATTACTAGTGAGACTGATCATCTTTTCGTATATTAATTGCTATGTGGTTTGTTTTTCTAACTGAATTATAGTCTTCTAAGTATCATGATTTCTGGTCTATGTATGTCAAAATGTGTTTTAAGTAGTAATTTAAACTACAAAATCAAGAAATGTCATGTGTTAGAAAGTTCACTGTAAAATCAGTTTTAAAAGAGTATTTTTTTAGGTGTATTTTTAGGTTTTTTAAATTTATTAGTACAAGAGTTCTTTATTTTTGAATCCCCAGTTCTGTTAGCAACTCTGTTCTTAGGAGAGTAAAATCTACCTCACTGTCTCTAAATTCCTATCCCATATGGAGTCTGTATACCAGAGATGCTATTTGAAGGTCTTTGTTTTATTCCTTATATGTTAATATTTTTTGTCTTTTTTGTTTAAACATAACAGTGTCTTAAATAAAATCTCAAAATATTAGTTTGTCCTGTGCTATAATGTTGCCCGTAGTTTCTTCTCGTTTCTGTTTATACCTCTTTGTAATGAGAATAAAGAACATTACAAATGAAAGAAAGAAAAAAAAAATTAACAGTACCCAGTAAAAGGCAAAGCTGAAGTGGGAACTGTTTTTGGACCCCAAAAAAGTGATAGTCGACCTAAACAACTATTTTATTAAATTAAAACCCCAACTTTCTTTAGCTCACAATTTGACTTACCTGAACGACGCGATAGCCCAGTAACCGCAGGTGTCTCTGCTTCACAGCTTCTTTTCCTAGCAAGTGACGGCTATTAGAGCAAAATCTACTTGGCCCATCAAGGCACAGCGCTATCCTGAGAAGTCAAAATGGAGAAAGAAAATTTGGGACAGAATTCAAAATTACAATTTAAATACTGTCACTGCTAGAATTTACTTGGGATTTGGCTAGGCTGATGTGCTAGCATAATTTTAAAATAAATCATAAGTAGGTTACCCTTGAATCTATTGAAAAATTATTCAACTTTATTAATATTAATGTTTATAAAACATTACAAACATGCATAAAAATTATACACTGAAAAGCATTTTCAATCTCCAGAATCATGTCTACTTTCTCACTGTGCTAAGAAAGCTGTTGCTTAACTTTAACAAGTCTTGGAACAGGATAAGCCACGGCCTACTGTACCTTTTATGGACATCTTCCTTAACGGTAAATGGTAACACAAATCCTGCTTCATCTAATTTAATTTCAACATCTGGTGAGAGAAGAAAGGAAAAATCCTCCCTGTGAGACCCGCACCACACTCTTCGGCACGCCTTGTACTCTCTTCCACAAGCACGTATCAGTGCGTGAGGGCTGCAAAGCAACAACCACAGCCAGACAACATGAGGGCAGTGACTCCGTTAGTCTGATGACCAACCAAGTCGGCCTTGCATAAGGAGGCTCGACAGTCCCAAGTAAAGAGCTGGTCCCCCAAGGACCTGTGCACCCCCTTCCTCCTCCGGAACAGTGGAGGAGCTCTGGCAGTTCAGAGAGAAGCAAAGCATTTAAGCAACTCACACCGCGCAGCTGGCTTGCAGTGTCCCGGGGTAGGCAAAGCACGCTGGGCTCCAACACGGGGTCCGCAGCCCCCGCAGCCTGCCCTGCCTGGCTGCTGTTCTTTGCTAGGCAGTGCAGTGAGCGAGATGTGACCACCGACGCCTGCGAGCTACCATCCTGCAGGACGTGATTCTCTTTACTCATCAGTCTGCGAGGACTGAAGGGCCGGAAGGACACGGAGTCTGGTAAGCACCTGCAGCACATTTACAACAGCTACCTGGTAGGGTAGTCACGAGCCACACACATGTGGCCGCCACCTTGAAATACAGCCAAGTGCGAATGAGAAATGAATTTTGGACTTTAACTTTGAATAGCCACTGTACGGAGGCTACAGTGTCTGCACAGCGCAGGCCTAGACGACAACAGCAGCTCACATTTACTGAGCATTCACTAGGGTCCAGGGATTCGTAATTCATTTACTCCTTTAATCTTTGCGGCCATCATTCTTTCTTTCATTTTATAGATGAGAAAACAAGTACGAAAAGGTTAAAATGTATGCCGAGGACAGACTCCACTCTGTGCTGATACGAGACGCAAACCCTCCTGATCAGCACTCCTTCGGCGGCCTGGAGGAAGGCACGATTCCATCGGCATTTCCAGGGCCTCCGCCGGCTCCTAAAGCCCCAGTGAGCCTGCAGAGGACCCAACGCTTCTGTTCAAAACGACATCGCTCCCCACACCACTCACCTATGGTGTAACAGTAAGGTGTTAACACTCTTGAAGAAAAATAGGTTTTTGCTCCTAAAAGCTCAATCAGTGCACTCATTACACGTTTATAAAGGTGAGAATCCAGCGGGGTCTCCAGGGAACAGCACGGAGTAAGAAATGATTTCACTTGGAACCTAGGTAAAAGCTTTGGACCCTGAAAACCATACAAACAAGTAGGAAAAACAAAAATCAGATACAAAGTCAGAGAATAAATGGAAGGATACAGGGGCATAAAAGTTTGGTACAAAATTACTTCAGTTAGGGCAGATCATTTTGTCACCACACGTCGGGCTTTTAGACTGATGTATCAGAAAAGGCTTTTCCTATTTCCATGTTACCACGATCTTGACCCTTGTACTTTTTTTTTTTTTTTGCAGCACAGGGAATAGAACTCAGGACCTTGCACTTGAAAGGCAGGCACTTATGCTACTGAGATATATTCCCGGCAGATCACTTTTTCAAAATGCCAATATAAAGCATTCTTAGTAAATTTCAAAATCTTCTAAAAGTATTTGGAAAAAAAGAGATTGGTCACCATAACAGAAGGAAGGAAAGAGGAAGGGAAGCAGAAGGAAGAGGGATAGTGAGGGAGAGGTAGAGGGAAAGAGAGAAGAAACGTGTAAGATCACTCCTAGTTTAAACACACTTTTGGAACTATTACAAATGCTTCAAGGACTATACGTATCCCAAACTAAAGGTTTTTGTTTTTTGTTTTTAATGTGTTTGGTGCAGGGTCTACAGGGTGTTCAGGGCCTCACTA